TGATATCAACGAAGTCCTTTAAAATTGTGTCTTTATCACCGCATAAGGTGCCATCATAAAGATACCACAAGGATTTTATAATTGGATGTAAAATCAGGGAAAACAAAGCTGGACCCGAAGGATCTCCTTGCTGAACGCCACGTTGTCAAAGAATAGACCGGTCATTAAAAGAAATTAGATATGGTTCAAAATATGATTCTTTTATGAAATGAAAATATTCTGGAATTTTGTTAGAAACTTCTGATAACAATGATGATCTAGAAATCATATTGAAAGCGTTTAAAAAGTCAATTTTCAATAAAAATTTAGGATTTATTTAATCGAAGGAAATAAAACAGCGTGTACGTGGACAGCAGCTTCCATACCACATTGTGCCAAAACCTAACTGAATTGGGCGACGATAATCACCCAGGGAAACATCTATCCTTGAACAGACTATCTTAGACACTAACCTCCGGAGGGTGCAGCCTACAGCAATTGGTCGAAGTCCCCCATCCTTCTTTTTCAAAGCACACAGAGTTGCCCCGAAAAATAAATTGGGCGAATTTCCACAGGTAGGTCTTCTTCAATGATCACCTTATCGAATTTTGTTAATGTAAATAAAAGTGTTGTTGAAGTTGTTCTTAAACATTCTTTCCTTCAAATGTTGTGGTTTCAGAGCATCTAATCCTCCAGCCAAACCAGTTTTAAAAGAAGATATTGCCAATTTAATATCGTTCTCAGAGACTTGAAATATAGGATGAGAGGAAGAAGGTGGATTTGCAAGTTCACATTCATCTAGAGGTGGTGAAGGATGCTTATCTTGCAAAATTTGAAAGGTAGAATCGTCATTAGTTGCCAAAAGTATCTTCGCTACATAATAATCTAACTGCGCCTTGTATATCGCCAATTGATAATTTTTTTTCAACTTTTCTGGATAGAAGTTCTTCGTTGTTCATAGACTTTTTGAAGGCTCTCTTTTCTTAGAATTAACTGGATTGTATTTTTCGAATATAAAATGAATTGATTGATTCGCTATATTTTGCCATTGGATTAAATTATGTGTAACTGATGAAGTGAGGAACGTCTTGTTCGATTTATCAGGTACACGTAGAGTGGCGTAAGGGAAGAACAAAAGGCAGAACCAAGCTGTAATTGAATTCTCATCAATACATTTCTTAATTAAACTAGCAAAAATATTTCTAGCACTTTTAGGAATCCTTTCCAAAATAGGAGTATTCTGTCAATGTAGTGAAAGAAATTTATTATTCGTACAAGCATTACTCTCCAAAAATACTATCGGAGAATTCCTTTGAACCAATATATTGAATCGTTGTTTTATGCATAGGTTTAACGTGTTTGTTTAGACCATTTTCACCACGAAAAAACTTTTTACAAACTAAGCATTGATTCTTTTTTTGAGAACTTGCAGTATTAGATTTTGATGGCAAAGCTGTTTCTTGCAAAGATAAATTCTGGTTGATTTGCGATGAAAATGAGGTTGACAATGATACTTCAGAGTCTTGAGAAAACGTGTATTTTGATCTAAAATAACGACCTAAACTAGATTGTATTCCTTGGTCTCCAGAAGAGGTTGATGGTAAATTTAATTGGGACTTCAAAATTTCAGAGTTTGCTTTTCCATGAGTCTTGCCAAAGTGGATATTTAATCCGTTTTTGTTTTTGAAGAATTTTCCACATTTCAAGTGAAGGGTCTTCTTCCATCAAAATGACCAGCAATTGTTTAAATTTTTTTGTCAAGGTAGATAATTTTCCAAACTTACTAAATTTGTCAATCGGCTAATGACAGACGTTATTGTATTCGAACTTCTTCGGATTAAGAATAATATTTTTCAGATTGTTAAGCAGTTGATTATTTCGAATTTATTCAAGTTGACTTTCAATGTGAAATTAAAAGTAAAAGGTCCTTTAAAACCTGTAGAAATTGATCAGGCACTCACTAGGATTATCAAATGGATTCAGTAACAATCCTTTGCTGATATCTTTTCCAAAATCAACCAACCTCTCAAACCAGTTTGTGAATTAGCTCCATATTCATCGATAGTAAAGATCTACTTCTAGTTGGTGGAAGGCTAAGTCAAAATTGAACTACGGCGTCAAGCATTCCCTACTTCTGCTCAAATCGCACTCGTTAACTGACTTAATTATTGGGTTCACACTCTCATCAGATCTTCATCCAGGATTAAAAATCACTACTTGCTACTTCAAAAATACTGGATCATATCTCCCCGGAGTGCTATTTATAAATGTCTTTCACAATGCCTCCGTTGCTTTAAATGTAAACCTAAGTCGTACAATCCTTATATGGCGGACTTGCCAGCCCTCCGTTGTTAATTCTCAAGTCAAGGCATTCTCTTCAGTTCGTTTAGATTTTGCTAGATCCTTTCCTCTTCTGCTAAGTAGGTACCTCGGTGCTGGAACATTTGAAGGCTACGTTTGTGTGTTTATTTGTACTGCCACAAATGCTATTCATTTCGAATTGACCTCAGATTTAACTTCCGATTCCTTTGTAGCAGCTTTTAGACGTTTTATTTGTCGACGAAGAAATTGTGTGACTATAACTAGTGATCAAAGGTACCAATTTTAAGGGAGCTCATCGACAACTCATTAAGTTGGCACAAACCGCCGCTGACACGTTGTCTCTTTCTTGGAACTACAATCCATCCGGTTCTTCTCATTTTAATGGATTAGCCGAGGCTGGAATACAATCATTTAAAAATAATTTTTATCGTGTTTTGGGTTCTCAGATTTTGTCCTATGAAGAATTTTACAATTTTTTAACCCAGGTGGAAGCTTTATTAAACTCTCGTACCTTGTCCAGTATCAGTGCAGATCCACATGATCTACAACCGCTTACTCCTGCTCCGGGGCATTTCTTAGTCTTTGAACCTTTAGTAAACCCAGTCACTAACCCATATTTAAGTCACCTAAATTGAGTCGTTGGCAATTCATTCAGCGACTCCAGAGCGATTTTTGGAAACGTTGGTCGCAAGAATATATACATTCTTTGCAAGAAAGACACAAGTGAAGTGGTTGGACAAGACACAAGTGAAGTGGTTGGACCAGTCTCCTCCCTCCCATTAAACTAGAAGCCCTTGTTCTAATAAAAAATGAACAACTAAGTTTAGTTTTATTGTTTATTATAAGTGCCGTTACTAAAACTTTTCTCATCCTGTTTTAAAAACATGCATTTTGGTGGGGTGAATGCAAGGACGTATATAAGGGGGGTTTTGGAGGTTCGAACCCCCCCCCCCCCCATTGAACTGAATTTTTTTTTAAGAAAAGTAAACGTTTTAGGGCGAGGCAGCCTCTGCTGGTTAATTCGGTATTCGGTGGGTACAGGCCAAGAATCGCAAACTAACAGGATTGCTAATCCTCATAAGGCCTACGTTCGCCAATTCTCGCGTCGGCAGGGCCTGCGAGTGACGTCAATACTGATTAGCAGCTTATAGTGATGACGTCACCCACAGGCCTCGATGGGATGCTTGCGATTCAGGGCTGAGATCACGACAAGTAAAATTCTACTTTCATGACGTCACTCGAGACCTTTTATCGCGTACAGTACAAAATCTATCGTTTCCATTCTTGGGCCAATATGTAAATATAATATTTTACCAATATTGTTGTGCTACTTAAGCGTGTGAAAAGTATTTTTCGCTGTGCGGAATAATTGATTTTCTACGTAAGTTAGTAGTGCGTTTTTAATAGCTTTCTAGAGCCGTCGTAGAAAAAAGAACTTCTCGCACGCTCGTAGAAAAAAAATTTTCGCCTCCGGCGGCGCCTACGGCGAACTTCCCCATCCCCCTATAAACAACTTTATGAAGTTATTCTGCACCCATGAGGACTTTCAAAAGTCGGCGCCTCTGACGCCAAGTGTTGAGGTTTGTAGCTGAAATGGCAGACATTTTCAGCTCAATAAGCAGTCCTAGGTTAGGTGTTCTTGCGCACAGGCAACCGCGTGAACCGCGGTGCTGCTTTCGCTTTTCTGGGATTCATCCAGACATATTATTGTCGACAGGTGCTTCCCATTATTTCCCACATAGCAAAAGTTTATTTGATGCAGATTTTATGTATATTCACAATAAACCTGTGCATATACACAGAATCTCCATTTTTAATGTCAAGTATATTCATTTCATGTTTTACGGATATATATTTGTCACAAAATACATTATACATAGTATGTACATAAGGTATATACATCGCATATCCTGGATATTCGTGTATATTGGGGGCATATACTAGCCTAGATTTGATGGATATTCGCCTTATGTCTTTTATATACATTATACCTCCATTATATATTAAACGCGTTTATGCAATGAATATTCTTTTCGTGAATTCGTTTTTTTTAGCTGCGGCTTCCCATGACTGTCCGTGGCGGATTTTGGTTCAGATAGAATGCGTATGGAACAAATTAAACTGTAATTTAGTCAAACACATTCTATCTGAACCGAATTCCGCTGACCGACAGTCCCAGGAAACCTCCGCTTTTGTGGTCGTTGTCAGATATATTATCCCTAGGACATTACATGCTCGGGATAATTTTATGACAATCAAAAGCACGTTGCTTTCTTACCTGTACTTCTTACCAGCCAGCGCAACTGAAAAAAAAATGGTCTTAAAATTATCAGGCATTTGATAGTCCCTTTCTCAGATACATACTTACTTGTAAAAAACGTCACGAGAGGAAGAAATTATAACGAACATTTTTTTGAGACCATTTATTTGTTTTTTTTACATTTTACAAAAGAAAGATTCATTCATGAGAAAAACAATGTTCGGTTTACTTTCTGACAAATCTGCATTCATGCAATTCAGGCACTACCTGAAATCATGATTTTTCTGGCTCGAATTGCATCCATGCTAATTTGTCTTCCAGCAACTGGACAGAGTAAGCAAAATAATCATTATCAATATTATAAAAAAACCCAATTACATAATAATGAACTTTAGAATTTGATGTATAATAATAAACTAAAGATTTATGCTATGCGAATTTACATAGTATCATTTCCGTCCTCTTCTTCCTGATTTTCATTCCGTCTAAAAATAAATAAACTGAAGAAAATTTCATCTAAGAAAATAAATGAATATATTTTCTCATTTAAGGGCTCAACAACATATGAACAATACTAGGCAACAATATTTTCAAAACTAACCTTCTTCGCTTATCTTCCAGATGCATGCGATCCTTTGATCGCACCAACCATTTTTTTATGTAGACAATAATATCGGCTTCTGTGGCATTTTAAGTGTGATTGTTAGCTCGCACAGTATCTAGAAACGAAATAATATTTAGTATTACCAGACATATTACATATATTCTTACACATTGGCATACCTAAAATGACATTGGCTAACTTTAAACATTTGAATTTTCTCTTTCCTTTGGCTCCATCCCAACTGAATAAATTTCCAACTTCATTTGTTAACAATTTATACATCAATCGTTTTACAATTTCAGGTACATCACTGCCTCCAACTCGACTTAAATACTTTATCTAAAATATCAGAAATAATACATTTATCAACATAAATTAATATAAATTAATAAGGCTCACCATTTTCTTCATTTCAATTTCGTTATTCAAACGATTTTCAAGGCTATTAAGTTTTTCAATGTCCAAGGGAAATAGATCAATAAATTTATTATCCAAATTTTGATCTAACTGGTTGATGTTATCACCACTTTCCAATTTTTCAATTGATGTTCCGAGTTCATTTATCTTCAAATTTAGTATTTTTAGTTTCCTTAAAACTTGCACCCTGAATTCTACACAAATGAAAGATTGAAATATTAGAAAAAAGTTAATTTTTGTCTACATAGAAACTCACCTGATGAATTAGCGTGCATTTGTTTTAATACTTTCAAAATTTTATCAGCAGAATTATCTACTGTAGCAGATTCTCCATGTTTTTGTGTTTCTGGCACGGACAAATTATCTTGATGAAACTTCAAATTTCTGAAATCGGGAAAAATGTTAATTTCAAAACATTCAAAAATGTTTATTCACCTTTCAGGAAGTACATCATTAGGTTCAGAGGTTCTGGTTGGCCGATTCAGGAAATTTTCCAGTTGTGATCCAGAAGAACTTCCTGAAAATTGATTAAAATTATTGTATTTTTTCTATGTTAATTATTATTTTATTGCTAATTTACTTTCTTCATCTGTTCTTCGCTCTGAACAATTTTGTATCTGGGAGGTTCTAAAAATTAAATTAGGAGTTGCATTCAACCTAAAACAATAATAATATACAGTAGGTACCTATAGTCTTCTAGAGATCTTGATCTCTTCTTGGTTTTTTTGTTTGGTTGACGATTTTCTTTTTCCATCAATGAACTAAAATAATTTATATTACTTCTGTGAAGCTAGAGCTCACTTTAGCATTACAAATACCTACCGGTTTTGTTGTGAAGACCTGCTGCCAATGCTTAACTGCTTTCGAGAAGTGTCTTCTTCGTAACTTGTATCGTTATCATCTAAAAAAAAACTATTCCATCAAAAATGAAATAGACTGTAATCTGTAATACCTTGTGCTTGAGAAAGTCCACTCGGTCCTGGGGTGCTAGCACCAAATTCTGGGAATGACAGAGAATTATCTGAAGAACCGCTTTCATCAGCTTCAGACGAACTATAATGAAAGTTCCTGTAGGTATGTGGTTTTCTTTTTCGCTTTCCCTTTCCAACATTTTCATTTTCATCGGTTGTTGACAATTTAGCCTTCTCATATGCCTTATGGACCTTAGATAAAGCTTGTTTGTAATCCTCTAGAAATTCGAATTTTATTTTAACAACAAAAATATACAATAATTATAGGTTTTATCTTACATTTGGTTAAAATTTTTGCCTTAAAAGCCTTCCAGTCATTCTCTGGGAGTTCTTTGCGTTTGATCAACTTTTCGAGGGTATTCCTCTTTATTTTTGAAGGGGGCCAAAAGCATTCTCCACTCAGTTCTACATACCAAGAGGCTGGTACAACTGATACAGTATTCTCTTGTGTAAATACAACGACGTACCACATTTTGCAGTTATTTATGAAGAGTTTCGAAACAGTTAATCAAATGATTATACTATAGATAATCTATTAGATACATAGTAATAGTAACTTACAGATGTGACATTGGAAAACACACCAACTTTTTTTCAAATGGTAGGATTATAACTTTTTTTTTAATAGCGCTTATGTCCCAGGATCTCAACTCACTTCTTTTTTTTATGCAAAAAATGTTGACAAATGAAGATGGAAAGGGTTTAGAAAAAAAATCATTATCAGGTTTATACAGAAAACCAATTACATGAACTGCAGAGTTTGCATTTGTCGCAAAGTTTTTAATTTCTATAATTGAATCGTCATGTAGCTGTGCAAATCTATCACCAAATTTGTTGACGTTGATTAGAAAATGTTTTGCTGAAAATTTTTCATACTGCGGACTAGTCAAACCAGGTAGTAACGGTCCACTGCTATGCTCTATAGAAAATTTATTACTCAAAGATTCGATAACAACTGGATTAAAAAAAAAAAAATCTTCAGAAATTCTTTTAATCACTTGTTGTATTGGCTGTGATGTCTTGCGAATTTTCTTTTTCAGTTGTTGCATGTAGTTTTCAAACGGAAAAGAGCTGAATTTGTCAAGATTTCCAAAACGAGAAACAAAATCAGTTATATGCAGAAGACTATGTACATTCAAAGATAAGAAACCCAAGCCGTAAACTTTTTCACAATTCACAATAAAATGTTCAAGCAAAGATGCTGCAAATTCAACAAAGTCTTTTCTTGTGGCAAGTTCATTGCTAACTAAAATTAAAGTAGCCATGGCTAGCATTAAAAATAAAGAGTTAACAGGTGGTAGACGCTTTTTACTCATTGGGCGTCGACCGGTGAGATACCACCATGCCAGAATTGAGTAGCGCTAAGTGGTATCACCACGTTCCGCTACTGCGCTGGCAGTCCGGTTCCAACAATGAGTAACAGATAGCATGATGGCGCCTCCAGGATCAAAATATTCCGGAGGTAAAATACCCGACCACTCGGATCTCCGGGCGTCGGGTGATCCTGGGGGTCCTTCATGCAAAGATATAAAGAGAAGATCAAAAACTCAACTCAGAATTGATTTTAGCAATATAAGAGGAATAAGTACAAATATGAATTCAGTTCACCAACATCTTGAAGAACAAAGACCTGACATCCTTGTTCTCACTGAAACTAAAATCAGTTCTGCAACACCTATTGTGAATTATCTTTATCCCGGCTATGACCTACACCACCGATTTCGACATAATTTTGGGATCTGTGTGTACATTAAAAATGACCTTTCATGTCATCGAGAGGAGAAGCTAGAACCAGCGAACCTTGATATCATATGGCTAAAATTCACCTCAAAGTCATCGACCAAGTTTATCTGCTGCCTCTACCGACCGCCAAGTAACACCGATTACCAAAACTTTTTCGCGACATTATCCGAAAGCTGTGATAGTATACAGTCAAACTATCCACAGGCGGAAATTGTCTTTTTAGGCGATTTCAACGTCCACAATATACCCTGGCTGAAATACCACAACAAAACAGATAACGAAGGCAGAGAAGCAGAAGCTTTTGCCATAAGTTGTGGTCTAACGCAGCTTGTCGATGAACCTACCCGTATCTCAGAAAGGGGCGAATTTGCAGCGCTTTTAGACTTGTTCCTAACCACCAATCCTGACTCGTACACAATTCAAGTAGATGCTCCACTTGGTTCGTCCGATCATAAACTTATAATAACAAAGTGCGAAATGCTCATCCCACCAAGCCTACAACGACTTCCTCGTAAAATGTGGCATTATAAATCGGCAAAATGGAATGACCTAAAACAGTATTACCTGGATTTTCCATGGCAAGAGGTTTGCTTTAAAACAGCTGATCCCACTATTTGCTGTAATGAAATAACACAAGTAATCTTATCTGGAATGGACGCATATATCCCACATACAACTAAACGTAGAGCTAATGCAAAACCTTGGTTCAACAGCCAGTGTCAAACGGCTGTACAGAAAAAACACAGAGCATATAACCTTTGGAAACGACAACAAACCGCTCAAAACCACACAGAATTTATAGAAGCCAGAAATAGTTGCAAAATTACTATTGACTCCGCTAAAGAAACATACAATCAAAGAATAAAAAACAGGTTGCTGAATTGTCCAAGTAGTTCTAGGTCTTTTTGGTCTCTTGCAAAAGCTGTTGGATCTAACTTCACCAAGTCATCCATACCACCACTTACAGATAAAAATAATCACTTAGCCACAACATCAGAGGAAAAAGCCAATATGCTTGCCCAAATGTTTTCCTCCAACTCCAACCTAACAGTGCCAAACGGAAAAACTCCACCGTTCATTGAAAGGGTTTCCCATAGTATGCCAGAGGTACCCTTTTGTCACAGAGAAATACGAAAATCCCTTAAAAAGCTAGATACAAGCAAAGCAATGGGTCCGGATGGCATTCCCGCAATAGTACTCAAAAATTGCGCCAACGAACTCACCCCAACTTTCGCAAAATTATTCAATTTGTCTTACAGGCAAGGAGTATATCCATCATCATGGAAGTCTGCCGCAGTACAACCCATTCCAAAGAAAGGAAAAAAGACAGATCCGTTAAACTATAGACCAATTGCTCTACTTCCGGTGATATCAAAAGTAATGGAAAGAGTTGTGAACAATCATCTAACCAAGTACTTGGAAAAGTACAAAATTATCAACGATAAGCAATACGGATTTCGAAAATATAGGTCAACTGGCGATTTACTTACATACGTCACTCACTTATGGCAAAAAGCGATTGAGTTGCGGGGTGAAACAAGAACAATTGCCTTAGATATATCTAAAGCATTCGACAAAGTTTAGCATGAAAATCTGCTCAACAAGCTCAAAGCAATGGGATTATCGCCGAAACTTTGCACTTGGTTTGAAAGTTACCTAAAGGACAGATCCATTTATGTTGCACTGGATGGCCAGAACTCCAACTCTTACCAAATAAATGCTGGTGTGCCACAGGGAGCAATCCTTTCGCCAACTCTTTTTTCTGATTTACATAAATGACCTCATAGATAAAACAATAAATCCACTTTATTGCTTTGCAGACGATGGCAATGTAGTCTCCTCACTCATACCACCCACAGGTCTTTCCGCACGTGAATTCCATCATCTTAGACTAACTCAAATATCGCAGATAAATAACGACCTGGAGATAATAGAGGACTGGGGTAACAAAAACCTTGTACAGTTCAACGCACAGAAAACCCAAGCAGCTCTGTTTTCAAAAAAGAACAGCACCGGTGAGCCAAACATCATGCTATCTGGAAGTGCTGTCACATTACAGAGTCAGTTGAACATCTTGGGGGTTACTGCAGAGACCAACATGTCTTGGCACAATCACGTGGCAGATATTGCTAAAAGGGCGTCCCAAAAGCTGGGGGTGCTATTTCGTACAAGACATCTGTACACACCAAGCCAATTGCTGACACTCTACAAAGCCCAGATTCGACCAACTATGGAGTACTGCTCACATATATGGAGTGCAGCACCCAAACATACCTTAATGCTTTTGAACACCGTGCAAAAACGAGCTATCAAGCTGATCAATGACCCCGCACTTACTCGTAACTTGGATGGTCTCGAACATCGCAGATCTGTGGGCGATTTATCTCTCTTCTACAGGTACTATCACGGAAAATGCTCTGAAGAGTTGGCACGTATGATTCCACCGAGAGTAGCGCCTACCAGGCGAACCCGTCAAACAGACGGTAACCATGAATTTACTGTCAAACTAGAGGCACCAAGAACCTCCTTATATCAGAATTCATATCTCTGGAGAACAGCATCGCTGTGGAATAAACTCCCTGCGACGGTTTTCCCTGCAGGTTACAACCTGAACCGTTTCAAGACCAACATACACCCACATTTCCGCGCACTTGCCGCTTCTCGAGCGTGATAGGACATTTCCTTGCGAGTGCGCATATCCGTAAAAAAAAAAAAAAAAAAAAAAGAGTAAATTTTTTTGGAGACAACATTTTTTAATACAATTGCTCCGGTATACAATAAAAGTAAACGAAATTCTGTAGCCTTATATCGCTTGACTTCAGTTATATTTCGAGTTTTTCTACGAGAAAATTCAAAAGGTATGAACTTTTTCAGGTATTTTAAATTTTTATTTAATAATAATACTTTTCGAGCGGGCAACTTGAAAGGTGGCTTTCCAAATATTAGCCCATATTTCTTCTGACAAAATATTCTTTTTGTGACTCCCAAAAGAATGCAATGCATATAATCGAGAGGGACGTCCTCAATTAGGTCAAATTTGGGAATATTTTCTAATAATGTATATCCTATATGATGCTCCTCTTGCTTTTTAGATCTAAAATCAGCATCAGTACGTTTCTGGTATTGAGTTTCGTTAAAACAGACAACACCATCATAAATAGTTCCTTCAGTGCAACATTTCGTGCACGAAAAATACCCGCTGTGGCCTTTAACCGCCAAAACATAGGATTTTGCAGGCATATCACAAATAAGCATTTGTACTCGAAATGGGACAACAAAAGATCCTATTTTAATGCCATTGTTCACTAAACTTGAACTCTCTGACACAAAATCAAATATCAAATCATTTGCTGGGGGTTTTTGAGGACCCTGAAAAAGTGCCACCAAGAAAACTACTTTATCAAGTACGTCAACAGATTTAACTAAACATAATATGGGCCAAAAGGATTCTCCAGTACTTTTATAGAGGGGTAATCCATCAATATTAACAGCAATTTCAATTACACTGGTATCAGTGGGATTAATGTTGAATTTAATAAATAAATCATTTATTGCATTTTCAATTCCGAAATAAAAATAACTTCCTGAACCAAGTTTTTTACAATTCGTGTTTTTTTGCGTGCCCAGTAGAGTTCGGGGATCAACTGGAAGGTGTTTTAAATCTTCACTCGAACTTAATCGCAAAATCTTTAATAATTTTCCAAGAGAAGCTAGGGAAATATTTTCTTC